GTATAGTGAATGCTAGGCTGAGAAGGAGCCAGGATATAGTCAGGTACAATTCCAGCTTTTTCCAGGCCAAGCTGGCCCAAACAAACCATTTCCATTAACAATCAATTTACTGCATCATATTGTAGTAGCACTATCTACATACACCAACCCCCCCCCCCCAACTCTCTTCCTCTTCCTCCTTCTCTTTCTCTTCCTCCTTCTCTTCTCCTCCTCCTCTCTTCCTCTTCCCTCCTCCGTCTCTTATTCCTTCTCTTCCTCTTCCTCCTTCTCTTCCCCTTCCTTCTTCTCTTCCCCTTCCTCCTTCCTCCTTCTCTTCCCCTTCCTCCTTCTCTTCCCCTTCCTCCTTCTCTTCCCCTTCCTCCTTCTCTCCCCTTCCTCCTTCCTTCCCCTTCCTCCTTCTCTTCCTCTTTCCTCCTTCTCTTTCTCCTCCTTCTCCTCCTTCTCTCATCCTTCCTCCTTCTCTTCCCCCTTCTCTTCCCCCTTCTCTTCCCCTTCTCTCCTTCCCCCTTCTCTTCCCCCTTCTCTTCCCCCTTCTCTTCCCCCTTCTCTTCCCCCTTCTCTTCTTCCCCCTCCTCTTCCCCCTCCTCTTCCCCCCCTTCCTCCTCTTCCTCCTCTTCCTCCTCTTCCTCCTCTTCCTCCTCTTCCTCCTCCTCCCTTCCTCCTCTTCCTCCTTCCTCTTCCTCCCTCCTCCTCCTCCTTCCTCCTCCTCTTCCTCCTTCTCTTCCTTCTCTTCCTCCTCTTCCTCCTTCTCTTCCTCCTCCTTCTCTTCCTCCTCTTCCTCCTCCTCTCCTCCTCCTCTTCCTCCTTCTTTTCCTCCTTCTCCTCCTCCTCCTCCTCCTCCCTTCTCCTCCTCTTCTCCTCCTCCTTCTCCTCCTCCTCCTCCTCCTCTTCTTCCTCCTCCTCTTCTTCCTCCTCCTCTCTCCCTCCTCCTCTTCCTCCTCCTCTTCCTCCTCCTCTTCCTCCTCCTCTTCCTCCTCCTCTTCCTCCTCCTCTTCCTCCTTTCCTCCTCTTCCTCCTCCCCTCCTTCCTCCTCTTCCTCTTCCTCCTCTCCTCTTCCTCCTCTCTTCCTCTTCCTCCTTCTCCTCTTCCTCCTCTCTTCCTCTTCTCTTCCCTTCTCCTCTTCCTCCTTCTCTTTCTTCTCTTCCTCCTTCTCTCTTCCTCCTCCTTCCTCTTCCTCCTTCTCTTCCTCCTCTCCTCCTTCCTCCTTCTCCTCTTCCTCCTTCTCTCTTCCTCCTTCTCTTCCTCCTCCTTCTCCTCTTCCTCCTTCTCCTCTTCCTCCTCTTCCTCCTCCTCTTCCTCCTCCTCTCCTCTTCCCTTCCTTCTTCTTCTCTTCCCTTCTCCTTCTCTTCCTCCTTCTCTTCCTCCTTCTCTTCCTCCTTCTCTTCCTCCTCCTTCCTCCTCTTCCTCCTCTCTTCCTCCTTCTTCTCTCTTCCTCCTTCTCTTCCTCCTTCCTTCTCCTTCTCTTCCTCCTTCTCTTCTCCTCTCCTCTTCCTCCTTCTCTTCCTCCTTCTCTTCCTCCTTCTTCCTCCTTCTCTTTCCTCTCTCCTCCTTCTCTTCCTCCTTCTCTTCCTCCTTCTCTTCCTCCTTCTCTTCCTCCTTCTCTTCCTCTTCTCTTCCTCCCTCTTCCTCCTTCTCTTCCTCCTCCTTCTCTTCCTCCTTCTCTTCCTCCTTCTCTTCCTCCTTCTCTTCCTCCTTCTCTTCCTCCTTCTCTTCCTCCTTCTCTTCCTCCTTCTCTTCCTCCTTCTCTTCCTCCTTCTCTTCCTCCTTCCTTCCTTCTCCCCTCCTTCTCTTCCCCCTCTTTCCCCCTCCTCTTCCTCCTTCTCTTTCTCCTCCCTCTCCTCCTCCTCTTCCTCCTCCTCTTCCTCCTCCTCTTCCTCTCTCCTCCCCTCCTTCTCCTCCTCCTCCTCCTCCTCCTCCTCCTCCTCCTCCTCCTTCCTCCTCTCTCTTCCTCCTCCTCTTCCTCCTCCTCTTCCTCTTCTCTTCTCCTTCTTCTCTTCCTCCTTCCTTCCTCCTTCTCTTCCTCCTCCTTCCTCCTTTCCTCTTCCTCCTTCTTCTCTTTCCTCCTCCTCTTCCTCCCTTCTTCTTCTCTTCCTCCTTCCTTCCTCCTCCTCCTCTTTCTCCTCTTTCTCTCCTCTTCCTCTTTTCTTCCTCCTCTTCTCTTATTCTCTTCTTCTTCCTCTCTTCCTCCTTCCTCTTTCTCCTCTTCCTCCTTCTCTTTCTCCTCTTTCCTTCTCTTTCTCCTCTTCCTCCTCCTCTTTCTCCTCTTCCTCCTCCTCTTGCTGCTCCTCCTCATTGGGTTGAATGCTGCTGCTCCTCCTCCTCCTCGTTGGGTTGAGTGCTGCTCTCCTTTCAGGAGAGTCCTTGTAATAATTAAATAATACAAGATTTTCTGTAGTTGGCCGATGTGGAGAGGCAGGGGGATGATGTCACACTTTCCACCTCTGCCAATCAGAGGAAGGTTTGTTTTCACTGATAAAATACAAGGCTTTTACTGAATGGGGGAGAAACTATCAGGCCAACTCTCGTTTGGCAGCCAACAAGAAGTCAACATGGAGCCCCTTGGTGTGTGCAGCTAATACTTCTACAGTATAGTATAGTACAGCACGCACAGCTGCCTCATTGTTTCTGAAAGGGTTAATAGTTAACTAACTTTTGCTTTCTGCCTGCTAACTGGTTTATTTTCCATACAAGATGTTCCCTTGGGATTGGATTGCTGTTATCTATGCACACATTTATTTTCTGAGAAATTGCACAAGTTACTACTCTGTTGCATTTTGTTATGACTAGCCATAGAGTAGTTTGCTGAAATCTCCTTTCTGTATTCTGATTGGTGCTGATGGAAACGCCTGAAATATGCCGCGTTATCATTTATTACTTAAAGCCTGATCAATAATAAAGAAGTTGGATTCTGCCGCGCACATCTAGGGATTGTCACATTGTTCCCAAAGTACTATGAACTGTATGTTTATTGTGTCGGACACGAGGGCCCCAAACTGATATCCCTGACAGTTTCCTAATAGAAATACTGGTCCCAACAAACTATGTAAAGTGATAGGAAAGCTGGAATTCTACTGAAAACATTAGTAGACCTGAGGCTCTGTGTTCTATCCAAACATGGCAAACACATACGTTTAATGCAGAGCTCCATGATGGCCTTTTAGTTACCATCCTCTCACCCCCCTATTGCCCTATTAAGCACTCGGGGCCCTGTGTAACCTTTGGGTCTCTGTCTGGGTGCCGTGTAACCTTCAGGTCTCTGTTTGGGCTCTGTGTAACCTTCGGGTCTCTTTTTGGGGCCTGTGTAACCTTGGGTCTCTGTTTGGGCGCCGCGTAACCTTCGGGTCTCTGTTTGGCGCCGCGTAACCTTTGGGTCTCTGTCGGGGCGCCGCGTAACCTTTGGGTCTCTGTCGGGGCGCCGCGTAACCTTTGGGTCTCTGTCGGGGCGCCGCGTAACCTTTGGGTCTCTGTCGGGGCGCTGCGTAACCTTTGGGTCTCTGTCGGGGCGCCGCGTAACCTTTGGGTCTCTGTCGGGGGCGCCGCGTAACCTTTGGGTCTCTGTCGGGGCGCCGCGTAACCTTTGGGTCTCTGTCGGGGCGCCGCGTAACCTTTGGGTCTCTGTCGGGGCGCCGCGTAACCTTTGGGTCTCTGTCGGGGCGCCGCGTAACCTTTTGGGTCTCTGTCGGGGCGCCGCGTAACCTTTTGGGTCTCTGTCGGGGCGCCGCGTAACCTTTTGGGTCTCTGTCGGGGCGCCGCGTAACCTTTTGGGTCTCTGTCGGGGCGCCGCGTAACCTTTTGGGTCTCTGTCGGGGCGCCGCGTAACCTTTTGGGTCTCTGTCGGGGCGCCGCGTAACCTTTTGGGTCTCTGTCGGGGCGCCGCGTAACCTTTTGGGTCTCTGTCGGGGCGCCGCGTAACCTTTGGGTCTCTGTCGGGGCGCCGCGTAACCTTTGGGTCTCTGTCGGGGCGCCGCGTAACTTTGGGTCTCTGTCGGGGCGCCGCGTAACCTTTGGGTCTCTGTCGGGGCGCCGCGTAACCTTTGGGTCTCTGTCGGGGCGCCGCGTAACCTTTTGGGTCTCTGTCGGGGCGCCGCGTAACCTTTTGGGTCTCTGTCGGGGGCGCCGCGTAACCTTTTGGGTCTCTGTCGGGGCGCCGCGTAACCTTTGGGTCTCTGTCGGGGGCCGCGTCTTTGGGTCTCTGTCGGGGCGCCGCGTAACCTTTGGGTCTCTGTCGGGGCGCCGCGTAACCTTTGGGGTCTCTGTCGGGGCGCCCGCGTCGCCTTGGATCTCTGTCGGGGGCGTCGCCTTCGGGTCTCTGTCGGGGCGCCGCCGCCTTCGGGTCTCTGTCGGGGCGCCGCGTCGCCTTCGGGTCTCTGTCGGGGCCCTCGAGTCGCCTTCGGGTCTCTGTCGGGGCCCCCGCGTCCCCTTCGGGTCTCTGGAGTCATAGCTTACACAGGACTATGGACTCCCCTTGTAACACTAGTCATACACTGAATTTTGGCTGATTCAGCAGGAATTAGCCAAATTTTGAGCCATGGGTGATCAGTCAGTAACACTCCACCTGATAAAAGTCACTTTTCAAATCAAAGGATGCGGGTGGAGAATTGTCAGCTGAAGAGTGACCACATCCAATCGTTGGCAGTAACTGTTCGGGTATTTGGGAAGTGGGCGGGCGCTGCGGCTTTTTGAATACAATAGCTGTCTGTGCAGATTCCTCCATCCAGGCTGTTTAGTATGGATGGGGGAATCAATGAATGTCTGGCCCAGGCACTGCTGTTTTGTCATCCATGAATCCACCCTCCTTCAGAAAATCAGAGGGTCATTCTCATACTTTTATCAGACGGCAATGTCTATTCTGTCTGCCAGTGTCAGTCTCCATCAATAGCTATGTCTTTATTGAACTGTTAGGGTAACCAGTGGAGAACCTATGCAGCCCTCATCATCCACAACTAGCAGGACCTTCTCTTTGGGCAGCAAGTCCTCCTACACTTCTTCCTTAACTGTTGATGCTTCCTAATGGATTTACTCTTTTGCAGATTCCATGCCTGTGCAGCAGTGCCACGTGTATCTTGTGCCGATGCTGCCCCAGCACCGGTAATTCCACAGTGACCCGTCTCATCTATGCATTCCTCATGTTGCTGGGCACTTTCCTGTCCTGTCTCATGCTCACCCCTGGGATATCGGACCAATTGAAAAAGGTAGGTTTGTGTGTACTGGACTTCATTTATTAAAGAAGTATGGCCAAAGCTATTCTGTGGGTCACAGGGGTGCACTTAGTTCTACACTCCTGTCACCCAGATTGAGCTATAGCCTTCTGTTGGCTGATGTCACAGAGCCAGTCCAGGCACTGAAGGGATCCCGACATTAATGTTGGGATCTGCCCACATGCCTGACTGGCAGCTAGCTCAGCCTTTCAGCATGATCCTAAGCACTTCAGTTAGCACTGGAGGGGCAGAGCAGAGAGCTAGTGATGGACAGTCACTGCTCTGTGCTGAGAGCGGACCTGACAACTGAGCATTCAGCGGTCTTTGATCGCTCAGTTCTCATGTAGAGTTGGCAGGGGACAGCTGCAGCCATCTAGGTGAGTAGGTTTGTTTTTTTGGATCCTGTACTTCTCTTTTAAATAACAAATGGTGGTCACCCAGGCTCTACTTCAATCCCACAGAGTAGTTTAATAGATAAAACAGAAACATTAGTTGTCTTGGGTTCTTCTTCCAGTCTGTATATAAATAAATGTGGCTGGATTTAATTTTAGGATAGCAGCAATTAGAAGAGCATAAAGCAGTATTAAAACCAAAAATGTAATACAGGTATATTGCAGCGTGTCAATCCTTGGATGTGATGGTTGCGTTTTTTAGTTTGTTTTTGTTTTTTTTCCAGTCTTTTCATTCTCTTTCTCTGTTTTCAGCTGGTGATCCAGCCAGTAACATATCGTCACATGTGTATGAAAGGAAAGCAGGCCTTGCTGCCCCCAAATGGACCAGGGAAATCCAAAAAAAGAACTGTATAAAAAGAGGGCCCACAGGCCTAGTGCATTACCTTTTAAAAATGAGATTTATTTATAAAAATCACAAGAGAAATAAAATCAAATGGAAAGCATGTCACAAGAGATGCAATGTGGTCCAAAACCCCTGAAGGTGGTCTGGTGGGGGACTGTAGACCTCTAGATAGCTGGTGGTTGACGCGTTTCGAGGTTGTACCTCTTCAGATTTCCCTGGTCCGTTGAGGGCAGCAAGGCCTGGATTCCTTCCATACACATGTGGGGATATTGACATTATGGAGTCCACTGTCAAGTGCTGGAGCTCAGGCATTCGGTTGCTTTTTTCTTCTTTCCAGTCATCGCTTAGATATTGCACACAGTTCTGTTCAGTGGTGGCCCCTTTCCCAATATTAGAGATTTGCTGAGGTTTTTTTTTTTTTTATTAACAATTTTTAGAGATTTTCACATATATACAAACAACGAGAATAAAATAAAGGAAGGAGCACATTGATGGTAAAATCTGCATGGTGGCTGAGTTTTGTGGAATGGCTTGTAACATTTATTTTTTTACTTTCTGTAATCATTTCATTAGCATATTGATAAGGGGGTAAAGGAGGAATCGGGGGAGGCAAACTATAAGAAGATTAAACTTTGAGCCAGTCTCCTTCATTAGCATGGCCTCCTGTTGGAATCACACAGTCAGTAATTTCCAGGTTTCAGATTTAATTATCTCCAGAGTCACTCATCGGCACTAGAAGAATGTAATGAGGCTGATGATGATTGCTGAGCTCGGCAATACCGCTACATCATTACAATGAAATGTGGAATCTTCATAACAAGAAGATGATGAAGCTGTTTTGTACTTTTTGGTGTGTATAGCACCACATTCAATGTATGCTACTATACTATAGCATAACTTTTTTATACTTTTTTTTTTTTTTTTTCTCTATGGTTGAACTGGATGGACTTTTGTCTTTTTTCAGCCAGACTAACTATGTAACTATAGATACACAGAATATACCTGGATACTAACATTCATAGGTAAAGTTGATCCAGGGAATATCTGATTGCCTCTCGGGGGATCAGGAAGGAATTTATTTTTCCCTGCAGGAGCAAATTGGATCGTGCTTTGCTGGGTTTTTTGCCTTCCTCTGGATCAACTGTGGGTATAGGATTATAACTTTTCTTTTTTTTTTTTCTATGGTTGAACTGGATGGACTTTTGTCTTTTTTCAGCCAGACTAACTATGTAACTATAGATAGAGCTTTCGGTTGCCGCTTGGGTTTAGGGGAGCTTTCATTTACGTTCAGGCTGTATATTGAGCTCATTTATATAGAATATAAAAATCCAAAGACTGCAGGCTCCCTTTTAAGGCTCCATGTACACGGGTCACTTCTGAATGATAGAAACTGACTGCTGGAAAATGTAGGTTAAAAAACGTCTGTTTTGCCACGTTTATGCACGTTTAGAAGTGTTTTTTTAAAGATAACCTCAGGAGACCTTCCAAAATGCCCTATTTCAGACATTTTAAGAGAAATGCAGAGAGCAGAAGCAGAGAGAGCAGTATGTGTTGAGATTAGCTGTCCTTTTTTTTTTTTTTTTTTTTTTTTTTTTTTTTTTTTTGTGGTGTTTGGATGTGTTCCAGCTCATTTCTGTGCAGATATTATTGCAGCAGTGTCTAACATATATTTTTTTTTTATGCAAAACTTCAAAGTATGGCGTACCGGACCCATTTGAGTACCGGGAAAACGGGTTCCATGCATTTTTCATGATGAAAAAAGGCTCTGGACATCATCTGGAAATGAAAGAGTTATAAAAAAAATGTTCAAACAAAAACGCCATTAGCCGCGTTTACAAACATTTTGCATTTGAAACGTTGATAAAATCTACTGCTGAACGCAAGTTTTCTGCGTTAAAAAAAAAAAAAAAAAGACTGTAAACTCAACTGCCTGTAAACGACATATTGTGTACATGGACACATAGGAAAACAGTAGGGTGAGTTCAGGGGCTGCTGAAAAAAACGCAGAAAAGCTCCAAAACGTGAGTATATCAGCTGCAGTGTACATGAGCCCTAAATATATATATATATATTACACATTTAGATAACATTATTACTGTAGTTAAAGAGACCAACATTTTTGCATCCATGTAGACAATCCTTGAAGCCGTTATCAGCAAGCAGTTAATTTGATATATCTCCGGCTTTGTCCCCATGGTGTCAGTTGATAATGGTCTGCTCTTATGCTGATCACAAGCTGCATGTGTGAGTGTAATGGCGTTTAGCTCTGGGCTTAATACCTTGGATCACATGTTCATATGCTTCATGTTTATCCCAAGGAGATTATAACTTAGAGCTATGCCTCATGTCATACAATGCTCCGTAAATCTACGGGATGCCAAGTAAGGATGCCATTTTAGGTGATGTACCTTTTTTTTTTTTTTTTTTTTTTTTTTTTTTTAAACCCGCACAAATGCCTACGCTGAAGAGTAGTAATCAATACCTAATATCCAATCAAAATCTGTCGCAGACAGCCTGTCACATTTTACTCCCTGATGTGTAATGTTTGTGGTCTCAGTAGAAGGCTCTTGGCTGAGGACCCCATCAGTAATTTTATTTCATTCTCTGCAGATCCCAGGGTTCTGTGAAGGAGGATTTGGCACAAACATCCCCAGTGTCAATGGCTACGTGGACTGTGATGTGCTGGTCGGTTATAAGGCCGTGTATCGCGTCAGCTTTGCCATGACCATTTTCTTCCTAGTTTTCGCCGTGCTCATGATTGGAGTGAAGACCAGCAAGGACCCTCGAGCTGCCATACACAATGGGTAAGTGAAGCTTTGTCTATCATCCCACATACACATGGCGTGTGCTGATTTGCTGCAGTTCTTGGATCAGACCATATACTGCCACCCTTGCTTAAAGTGGTTGTAAAACAAACACATCCGATAGCACTTGCGACCACTTAACAATATGTGAAAATAATAGAATACATGACATAAATGTGTTCATTAAAAAGCATTCCTCTGGATCTATACCAGTGGTACTCAACCTTCCTAATGCCGCGACCCTTTAATACAGTTCCTCATGTTGTGGTGACCCCCAACCATAAAATGATTTACCCAGTAATTATAATTCATGAAGTGTCGTTTTACCTCCATACTGCTGCTTTCAACACAGTAGCTGCTTTTCTTTACACAGTAGCTGCTCTTTACACATCGGAAATATGTGTTTTCCGATGGTCTTAAGCAACCCCTGTGAAAGGGTCGTTCGACCCCCAAAGGGGTCGCGACCCACAGGTTGAGAACCACTGATCTATACCATATCAGTGCAATGTCCAAATGCATTTATAGCTGGATTCTGACTCGCACTTTCTTCATTTGGACTTTGCACTTCTATAGTAATATGGTATAGATCAAGTGGAATGCTTTTTAATGAACACATTTATGTTATTTATTATATATTTTCTGATTAGTATATATTTCTGATATATTTCTAGTATATATTTCTGATATATTTCTGATTAGTAATCTAAACCTTTGGCTGTCAGTCTGTCAACCTTTTTAGTTCCTCTTGGTAAGAAAAAGGCGGCTTTTCCTTCAGTCACTTTGATAAAGTTTTAATGGACTTGATTTTGTTGCAGGTTCTGGTTCTTCAAAGTATTGGCCATTGTCGGTATAATGGTGGGAGCTTTCTACATTCCAGAGGGACCCTTCACAAGAAGTAATTAAAAATGTCCTACTTTGTTGTCTGTGGTATCATTGATTATCCATCATCCTTGTGGTAGCTCTGTTTACTTGACTGACCACACTGGAGCCACTTTGTGTTCTTATTCAACCCCATCGCTGTCCACTTCTCCTCTTAGCTCATCACAGTCCTTTCTTCCCCTTTTTTATGAATACTCCAGAAACTCATATATAAATTTTGGTTCCTGAAAAGGTAATGCAGACATCATCTCATTTAGAGACACATTGTCTGCAGAGTCTTTAACCTCTTCACGCCGGCCGCACAAAAATGTGCGGCCTCCCAGCGTTTGGGCCTAGACACCGAGCGGCCGAACATTAGCATTCTATTAAAAAAGGACATATGTGCCGAGCGTGTGCGCACTCCCAGCACACATGTCCGGTACTCACGGAAAGGTCCCAATCTCCTCTTTCGATCGGGACATTTCCCGGTCGTGTGACGGCGCATCACAGCAGTCACATGACCCTAAACCCCGCCTCCCGGCTTATGGAACCCTTAAAGGGCCGGGAGGCACCGGCGTGAAGGGGTTAAGCAAACCATACCTTAACCACTTGCAGGAAAATAAAATTGCTTGATTCCCCCATTAACACGTTCAGTGTTGATGGGGGGAATCCCTCCCACTGAGCTTTTGCATTCTGACAGTGGGAGGTGTCCTTGCCAACAGAATACAATGAACACTGCCAGCTGTTATCACCACTGGCAGTGGTCGAACAAAAAAAAACCCCAACAGGCTGGTTGTACTGAAGTCGATTGAGCGATTGACTTATGTACAACCAGCCTGCCCATACATGGATCAAAATCCGTTTGCTTTCTGCTGAACCAGCCAAATTTCAATCCGTCTATGGCCACCTAAAGTAACAGTGAATGAACACACCAATGACATTGATGTCTGCATGGAAGAGCTACTGGGGGTCATGCCAACTCTAGGTCGTGAGGAACCATAAGTTTGGCAAGACTAACAGAAAGTTACCTAGAACAGGGGGGTGAAGAACAAGTGACAGGAACTGCAGTCTTTTCACATCTCCTGTGGGTTCCGGCTTCAGCCTTGACAGTATAAAGCATTGGGGTTGAGGTTCGGACAGGACACAGAATTCAGGCATAAGTCAAGATGGGGTAACGATCACTAAAAGAAATAGTATCAGGCTTAAAAAATAATGATGTGTGGTTCATACTAAAGTAAGCCATAAACGACTTGGGGAACTGATGGCATTAGAGGCTGGCTGCATAGAAAAAGAAAAGTCTTTGAAGTAGGTTGTGACCAAACGTGTATGTATGTATATGTATATATATATATATATATATATATATATTATTAATAATAATTTTTTATTTCTTTTTAACCTGTGTTGCGCTTTAATTTGTGGTTTCCTTTTTCCACATTCTAGCTTGGTTTGTCTTCGGAGCAGCAGGGGCCTTTTCCTTCATTCTCATCCAGCTGGTACTACTTGTTGATTTTGCACATTCCTGGAACGAATCCTGGGTAGTGCGCATGGAGGAGGGGAATTCCAAATGTTGGTATGCAGGTAAGAATGGCATTAGATATTTTACTGAAATATGAAGATGTTATTTTTGTTACTTTTTTGTGGTTTAGTTTTTGTTTTGGGTTGGTTTCATTTAGGTAAGGTTCACACTGATGATATTCTTCTTCTCACTCCATTGTCTTTATGGGAGACTGCTGTAGAGCAGAGTACAGTGCATTCTCTGGGCATAGATAGTTTTCTAGTTCATACAGGACTTGAATAAAATGGATAGAAAGTAGATAAATGTGTAATTTTATACACCGTTCTTAGTCATGTTTTTGGGTCTGTCGCACACAAATCTCATGTGGAAGAGATGTTAGCACAAGCAATATGTAACCTATATGTAGTCCTGCAATACTCCTGTCACTTGAAGAGAAGGAAGGATAATGGCCACGTAGATCGGCCTTTAAAGGAAGTGTTGGGTAGACAACCACGATTGCATAGTAGACCAAAAACTAAGTGAGATTGATACCACACTAATGTCACAATCTGTTATCCCAGTTGACTGGCCAGTGTTTGCAGGTGCTGGTTGGGTTGAATACTGGCTCATCAGAAACATCGAGGACTACAGAAAAACAGGGCCCATTCACACACTGCCACAGCGTTTAGAGAGCTCCACTTTTTAAAAAATGGTTTCTTATGCATGGGAGAACTCCTAACTTGTTCACCCAGTTGGGGCTTCATTGTAAAGGTTACTGGACGAAACATGTTGGTAGAGGTTCTCCCATGAGTAGGAGACAAAGCTGAAGCCATTTTCTTACTAAGAGGAGCTCACTATATGCCATGGCAGTGTGCAGATAGGCACCATGTTGTTGTAAACCACAATTCCCGGCACACTTTAGTGCTGTATCTTTTCACCTTTTTATATACTGCTCTTCTGTTTTTTGCTTACATGTTCATCCATCAGAAGCAAGCAAAAATACTTTGTATTTCCTAGCAGGGAGGTCTTAACAATGCTGGTCATAGGTGATTGATCTACCACAGTCACATGGAGGGAGCCTCTAGTCCTATGTAAGCTCTGACTGGGATAGACTCAGGGTTGGCATGGGGCTTCTAGCGGCAGAACAGAACAACCAGAAAGTGAAAGGTAGTGTTAGATGTACGGGGGCCAGCATAACAGGAAACCTATTACTTTGCCCCGCATGGACAAAGAACAAGTTCACTATATATATATATTCTAATATATTATATATATATATATATATATATATATATATATATATATATATAAATGGACCTAATTGTATACACTGAATTTAGAGACACTTATGAGTAACAATACAGCTCTGCCTCAATAGTACTTTTCAGCTGGTGGTTTAATACTTTGATGACACAATCTGAATTCTCCTAGCATTTGAGAACTGGTATGTCACATATGTATCAGACAATCTCCCTTGTCTTTTGTATCTTCCAGTCTTACTGTCGGTGACCGGCCTGCTGTACATCGCATCAATAATATTCTTCGCCCTCCTCTTTGTTTTCTACACTGTGCCCGGGGGGTGTGCTGAGAACAAATTCTTCATTAGTTTCAACATGATCCTGTGTTTCATCGTATCGGTCATCTCCATCCTCCCCAAAGTGCAGGTACAGTCCACTGATGCTGGGGTGGTAGCTGTAGAGCAGAGGACCTCACCTCTTAAAGCTGTAGATATACAGACTTTGGGAACTGAGTTATTTACTGCTATGAAGTGCTGCTTTCTTTGTGGTTCAGGAGGCAGAATGTCTCAGCAGTACTGTATGTGATGTACAGGGTAAACCTAACCTATGAGACAAACGAAACCAGAGCTCCAATCTTCATGCAAACCAAGGAATTGCCAAAATGCCAATCGAAGAGGTGCTGCCCTTCTGAGATCGGGAAATCTGACCACTGGTAAATGAAAACAAACACGTGTGCGCACTCTCATCGTGCATTACCGTGGTATACCACGTAATTGATTAACCTCTTGCCGTCCGCCTGCTGTTTATAAATGGCAGGGCGGTGGCACTCCAGGGGCGGGTTGCCGTTCCTAAACGGCACCCGCCTTTTCTAGCTGTGCGCGCTCCCTGGGAGCGCACACCACCCCGATCCGGTGCCCGCTGTGTCCTCCGGACACAGTGAAACACCGTTCGTCGGACGGGACCTCTGTATGAGGTCCCGATCATGTGATCACTGATTGGCCAATCAGTATTCACATGCAAAGTAGTAAGCAAGATGTCACTTGTGACATCATTGCTTACTACGTGTGAAATCTGTGAATGATCACAGAGGTCACATGGTACAAGGCTAGTCACAACAGCCTTGTACCATGTGACAAGCTGTGACCAATCACAGCTCACTCAGTACTTCTCAATGACTGCAAGAATGCAGACAGAGAGAAAGAGAAATGATTGCTTTTACATCCTATATGGGTGTAAAAGCAATCGGTATAAAAAAAAAAAAAAAAATCTTCATCACCCCCCACAAGTAGTACAGTGTCACCATGGTGACACTACTGCTAGGGTGGCAGTATGTTAAAAAAAATAAATAAATAAAAAATAATAATATAAAAAAAATAAAATAAAAATGTTTTAAAAATTATAATTTTTGGTTATAAACTAATTTGGATTTTTTTTTTTTAACTAAAAAAATAACGGAATAAATTTTGGCCAAGATTTAAGATGAAATATTATTTATTTGCAAAATTTTATTTAAAAAAAACACTTTTTTTCAAAATTTTTAGACTTTTTTCATTTACATAGTAAAAAAAAATAAAAATCCCAGCGGTGAATAAATACCACCAAAATAAAGCTTTATCTGTCTCAAAAAAATGGTAAAAAATTCATATGGGTACAGTATTGCATGACCGCGCAATTGTCATTCAAAGTGTGATAGCGCTGAAAGCTGAAAATTGCCCTGGACAGGAAGGGGGTTAAAGTGTCCGGACAGGAAGTGGTTAAATAAAAAAGGATGTATACTCACAAACCAACGTGATTATAGGCAGTATGAGTGATCCACAAAAACAGTCACAATACAACTGTGTCTAATGATGCGGATTAGCTGACGCGTTTCGGGGGCTGAACCCCTTCCTCAGAGCTAGCCCCCGAAACGCGTCAGAGGGGCTGAACCCCCTTCCTCAGAGCTAGCCCCCGAAACGCGTCAGAAAATCCGCATCATTAGACACAGTTGTATTGTGACTGTTTTTGTGGATCACTCATACTGCCTATAATCACGTTGGTTTGTGAGTATACATCCTTTTTTTATTTAATAAATGACGTGGTATACCACGGTAATGTACGATGAGAGTGCGCCCTTGTTTGTTTTCATAAACCTAACCTATGTTCATTATTTTTTTTCTTAACATCATGCCGCCTTGAAAATCACATAGATGTGCTAACATGAATGGTAGACTCCGGAGCGGAGTGCTCCTTTGTAGAGCGCTCAGGCAGCTAGTGCTGTTGTGTGTGTTGTAATGCGCAGCATGTCGGGTGGTGACTGCTTTTATAGAAGCTGAAATCAAGAGCAGTGCTGATGTGAATAGTAACTCCTAACAACCAGATTGCCGTCGGCTTACTGACAGGTTAGCTGCCATATCGTGCACATTGCTCTTCCCTATATTAGTAATCCAGCTTCTTGCATATCATTTGTAGCAATGGATCCTGTTGTTTGTATCCTATCCTTTTATACTTTCCATCAGATTGAGGTTTCTATGATCAGTTTAGGGAAAGCTAGAAAATAGGGTCTGATCATGTAGGATAGGCCTGGTGTTCAGGGTATCAAAGATCAGAAATAACGTGTGCTCTTTGCTTTGCAGGAAGGTCAGCCACGCTCTGGGCTCCTTCAGTCCTCTGTCATTAGCCTGTACACCGTTTACCTGACCTGGTCTGCCATATCCAATGAACCTGGTAAGATTTTCATTTTAACAAAATGTGGTGAATAGGTTTTGAAACGGCATTATGAAACCTGGTGTCAGTATTTGCCTACAGCTTGGAAAACCTGAGGCTTTGTGTAGGTGGGCTGTTTTATTTCAGGTTGCAAACCATCTTCTTTAACTGCTTGCCTTCCAGAGGATTTACCTCCCCCCTTCCTGACCAGGCCATTTTTTGCGTTACGGCGCTGCATTACTTTAACTGACAATTGTGCGGTCATGCAACGCTGCACCCAAATTAAATTTCTGTCCTTTTTTCTTTCCCCCTCGAATAGAGATTTCTTTTGGTGGTGTTTGATCGCGTTTTTATTTTTTGCGCTATAAAAAAAAAAAAAAAAAAAAAGGCTAACAATTTTGAGAAAAAAAACCCCCCAATATTTTTGACTTTTTGCTAATAAACATGTCCAGTAAAAAACTTTAAAAAATCTAATTTTGTCATAAATTTAGGGCAAAATGTATTCTGCTACACGTCTTTGCTAACAAAAAAATCCCAATATGTGTAAATTAATTGGTTTATGTGAAAGTTATAGTGTCTACAAATGGCGGTATTTTTTGTATTTCGACTAGTAATGGTGGCGATCAGCAACATATAGCAGGATTGCGGCGGGCATTCTGACACTGGGGGGGGGGGGACTGACTTTGTGTCACTGAGATCCCCAACACAGTGATCAGTGCTGATAAGAAGCATGACACTGTACTAATGGCACTGGGCAGGTAGGGGTTAACGTGGGCTGATCAAAGGGTTAACTTTGTGCTGTTTTACAGTAAGCTTTCAACTGTAAGCACACTGCTTTGTATGGCTTTGCTATGCAGAGCCATACAAAACTGTGTGCTGTAGCTGACAGGGGAGATAACTGTATTGTTTGCATACAGTTCTCTCTCCCCGCCAGTAATACTCGGCGATCACCGGGTGCTGGCAAGTAATCACCATCCAGGACCCGGTGATTGACAGCAGAGGCTGCGAATAGTGTCACGGGTAGGGCGCGCGGCTCTGAGAGTGCCCCCTGCCCGGCCGTGAACAATCACGTATATATACGTGATTTTGCGCACCCCTGCTGCCCTGTAGCAGTATATCTGCTATAGGGCGGCGAAAGCAGTAGAAAGCAGTTTGGAGCACCATGTAGGTCTTTTGACTTGCAGGAATGTTCAGTGTTATTGCTTACCTTGGGTTTTGTTTCTGCTACTTAAGTAGACTTTTCAGAAAAATAAAATTCCTAAACTGCTGTTTCCTATACTTTTTATTTACTGTGGCTCAAAACCCTGACCCCCTCCTTTCCAAAAAAGTAATCCAAGATTGATGAGACTTGTACATTGAATGAGAGTGGCACAGTGGGGAGGGAGATGTCCTTTCCGATGTTCCTTCATAACTAGAAGTACATTGAATTTTAGAAGCTTAGGGGGTCTCAGCGTTGATCAGGGGTGTGGAAAAAATAAAGGGATTTTTTTTTGACAATCGGAGAGGGAGTGTACTCCTTTTGTCTTCTTCCTTTGAGGAAGATGAGCGTTCTTGAAGAATGATAATGTAATCAAAAGCTGGTCTGAAGACACCATGGGGTTTATTTATAAAGCTGGAGAGTCCAAAATCAGACTCCCTTCTGCATAGAAACCAATCAGCTTCCAGGTTTCATTGCCAAAGCTTCATTGAACAAGCTGAGGTTAGAAGCTGATTGGTTTCTATCCAGAAGGGAGTCTGATTTTGGACTCTCCAGCTTTAGTAAATAAACCCCAATGTGACTCTTAGGCCATACATATGAAATGCTTGCACAATGGTTTTGCAATCCAACTCTTATGCCAAAGTGCCCTATGCTGTCTGTTCTCCTTGCTTGATTGTAGGAACAGAACTTCTTTAAGCACAGTTGTTTTTTTTTTTGTTTTTTTTTTTTTTTTTTGCAGATCGTATATGCAACCCAAGCTTAATGACCATCCTCAACAAGATTACAGCCCCTACGCTGAGTCCCCAGAACGGAACCATCCCAGTAGTCCCCACGCCAGAGCCTATAAAGTCATTGCAGTGGTGGGATACTCAGAGCATCATCGGCCTGATACTATTTGTGCTGTGCCTTCTGTATTCCAGGTGAGGGCCAGAAGCATCGAATGGGGCTGTGTTTTCCTGCAAGATTCCAGTAAAAAAGTCTAAACCAGATGTGGATATACAGAAACATTTTTTTATTAGTAGATTTCCCTTCACTTCCTGTTTTGTAGACTCAACAGGAAGTGAGAAGATTGCTTTTCAGCAGTGAGGGAAGTGTCATGGGGGCAGGTGCCTACAAATAAACTGAATCTAATTTCTGTGGGGCACGTGGAGAATTTACTGGCTAGCAAACGTTACAGAATCAGAAAAAACCTTTACTCTCAAAATTTTAAGAAGGTTATTCGACTCAAATGAAAAAAAAAAACCTGTTTCTGGTCGGTTTGGGCAAGCTTCTTTGAGTTTTATAAAAATGTTCGGATCTACTCTCTTTGGGTGATGGAATCCTACTGCAATTGGCACTTTACATTACACTAGCCTTGCATAAAATGGAGTCCGGTGTTTACAAATGAAAAGCTCAGCTTTTTTTTTTTCTTTTTTTTTTCCCCCCCAGAAGCCCTAAAGTGATATTGTGTTCCAGAGAATGGGAGGCGTATATAGTATAGTAAACTAATGTGTTCTAAAGGGTGTTTTGTATATCAGATACAGCATGCCAATCTTGTTCCGTACTTTTGAAGATTATAAGTTATACCTGCCTTTGTGAGGTTGCTGTATGCCACCTGATTTGATGAATGCAGATATACCCACTTATTCTATAACTTTTTCTTCTTTTTTTTTGAATAGTGACCAGTCAGGTTTTACTTATTAGGAAAATGGAATTTGGTACTTTCACTTTAATAGACAATGCTTTTTTTTTGCTTTAACCACTTCCTGTCTGGACACCTTTACCCCTTTCCTTTCCAGGGCAATTTTCAGCTTTCAGTGCTATCACACTTTGAATGACAATTGCGCGGTCATGCCACACTGTACCCATATGAATTTTTTACTATTTTTTTTGAGACAGATAAACCTTTGTTTTGGTGGTATTTATTTACCGCTGGGATTTTTATTTTTTTTGCTATGTAAATGAAAAAGTCCAAAAATTTTGAAAAAAGTGTTTTATAAAATTTTGCAAATGCATAATATTTCATCATAATTCTTGGCCAAAATTTATTCAGTTTTCTCTTTTTAGTAAAAAAAAAAAAAAAATCAGCCAAATTAGTTTATAACCAAAAATTATAATTGTTAAACATATTTTTTTTTTTTTTTTTTTACATTTTTAGTTTTATTTTTTTCTTGTTTAAACAATTTTATTAACATTAAATCAGAATGGGACAAACAAAGAGACATTTCTAATGTACGCTGGACATTGAAGTGGCAATAAGACATAAAAAAGAAAAAATGAATGAGGGTCACAGTACAAATGTCTATACATTACTAGCGGAAACAGGTAGGTAAAAGTTGACAACAAAAGACATTATTGTTCCAGCCAATCAAAGTAATTTATTTTATTTTTTTATATTATTTGTTTGTTTTTTTTTTTTACATACTGTTACCCTAGCAGTACAGTGTCACCATGGTGACACTGTACTACTTGTGGGGGGTGATGAAGATTTTTTTTTTACACTGATTGCTTTTACACCCATATAGGATGTAAAAGCAATAATTTCTCTTTCTCTCTGTCTGCATTCTTGCAGCCATTGAGAACTACTGAGTGAGCTGTGATTGGTCACAGTTTGTCACATGGTACAAGGCTGTTGTGAATAGCCTTGTACCATGTGACCTCTATGATCATTCACAGATTTCACACATAGTAAGCAATGATGTCACAAGTGACATCTTGCTTACTACTTTGCATGTGATCACTGATTGGCCAATCAGTGATCACATGATCGGGACCTCACACAGAGGTCCCGTCCGACGATCGGAGGACACAGCGGGCACCGGATTGTGGTGCTGCCCGCTCCCAGGGAGCGTGCACAAGCAGGGTGCGGGGAGGCCGTTTGTAAACGGCCACCCGACCGTGCACTGCCACCGTCCGGCCATTTATATACAACGGCCAGACGGGAGGTGGTTAAAATAGATGTAAGTGTCAGTGTTCTGTTTGTTGGTCATTGTATTCCAGCTTCTTCTCATCAGACTATATGAACTTTTCTTGCAGCATCCGAAACTCTACCAACAGCCAAGTGAACAAGCTCACCTTATCTGGCAATGACACACCCATGCTGGATGACACCGTAGGTAATGGCTCAGACGGTGAGGACGTAGAGGTGCGACGTGTGGTGGATAATGAGAAGGATGGCGTCCAGTACAGCTATTTCTTCTTCCACTTCATGCTTTGCCTGGCTTCCCTCTACATCATGATGACCCTCACCAACTGGTACAGAATCTTCAATGTGAGAGCCCATTATGGAACAGGACTAATCACTGGGCTGTGTTGATAGGGCGGGCTGGGCATTTTTATTTTTTTGTATGCCAGAAAAGCTACAGGAACTAAAGCTGTTCATTTTCAGTGCTTTTTATTTATCACATTATTAGGAGGTGAAGAATGTTTCACATCATCATCCTCAACTAATTGTAATCCATTATTCTCAACAGAGAGGGTTAAAGTGTATATCTGAGTAAAATAAATATTTCTGCGTGTTTTGTCTCTTAAAAATGCTGCAAGGACAAAAATAATACCTGTTGATCTGCTAGAAACCTAGCGAGCTCCTAACTTCTTTTAGTCAGCTGACCGCCCTGACCAGTTTACTTTGCTGGGTCACAGCATTCCTCCCTCTCGTGTCATGGAGATGAGTTTTATGATGGATGTGTTGAAGGGTATATCAATGACAATGGCAGCATGTGAAAATGTGTAATATAATCACATTTGTGGGTATTAATAGTGCTTACAAAAGAATGAATGTAGTATAGGGTCTCATTCACACGCCATGCTTAGTATCACGTACGCCTGTGCAGGGCCATGTTTACCCGCACGGGGATGCACAGGTGTTGTGTGCATCTCTGTTCAGGCAGTTCCATTGATGTCAATTGGGACACTGTCTGCGTTTTGAGGAACATGCATCTGCCTGCAGCCACACTGATGTCAGACTGAAAACAGCAGCTGCTGCAGCCCAATAGATATCAATGGGACTGCCTGCATGGGGATGCACAGAACACATGTGCATCCCCCTGTTAGTAAACATGGCCCTGCACAGTCATACACTATAATGCACCCTGTGTGAATAGGGCCTAAGAGTTCCTTCCTTAATAATAATAAAAAATTGTTTATATATATATATATATATATATATATATATATATATATAAAAAATATTATTTATTTTAATAAAAAAAAGGGTTTTTTTTGTTTTTTTTTCTCTCCTAGCCCGGATGCCGATTTGAATACTATAACAAGCAAGTGGCCAGCTGTTTGGGTGAAGATTACCTCCAGCTGGGTATGTCTATTGCTCTACACCTGGACGCTGATCGCCCCCGTCGTCTGTCCCAACAGAGACTTCAATTAGATGTCTCCCGATCCTCTTCTTTTTGGTAACAACCATCCCCGATTCCAAAGTCTGCTCGGGGGGGGGGGGGACCTGTCATCAAGAAAGCCATATTAATGATATTACAGCAGATCACCTGAAAGTGCCTGGACATAGATTTTATTTTCTTGTCAATGTTCTGTGCAATATGGGGGTCCTCCAAAGCCCCAGGATATTGATGAATCTGCTCTTTTCAGCCACATCGAGCTTTAGCACACCTCACTTTAAGGCAGCTGGAGCCTGTACGGTCATTCCATACAGGACTTCTCAGCTCAAGCATTTTGTGATTTATCATTTAAAGACCAAATTTACCTTTTAAGAAAAAAATGTTAAAGGCACATGTTTTTGCAGGTAAAAAAAAGTGCATTTATTGATTTATTTAAGGAGCCTGCAACATATTGCATCCATGATTAGTGGATCATGGAGGCAATGTCAGGATCCTGCAGACACTTCCTACAGCTTTTTGTCCATAGATTGGTACAGGCTTTCAGTTACTGAGCTGCAGGATGTGTCAATGGACTATGAATGTGCTGATCAGTGCACTAGCAGTCTATTGAAAATTCCATCTGCCATGGTGGTGGATGGGACTTGTAGTTTATTCATTCACAGATCTCTGTGAATGAATGTGGAGCTCTGCTCAGCTGTGCCGATTTTAACTGTGACAGCGGCTGCGGGAGAGAAAAAATCCTAGCCTGCTGTCACGGGAGGGGTTAGGCTGCTAAGCAGTTTGGTTGCCATCTGCATTATCCTTTACTTCCAAACTGTTTGGTAAATAAAGTCTGCTGTGGGAGGAGGTACTACTCCACCCCCCACACACCCCAAAAAAAAAAAAAAAAACCTACACAGGGGCAATTATCAAGCAAATTAGAAACACAATTAGACACCCACCTCGCTGTCTGACAGTTTTGCCCCTGTAATCCTAGGTGACCCACTGGGACAGTCTGCAAAAGGTAGGCAGATGTCAATCCTAAGAAGTTTTTTTTTTTTTTTTTTTTGTCCTTTTGAGAATAAAGGAAAAACCCTAAAAGTATTTGTATCCTGTGACAATCTGTCAAGGGTTTGTCAATGTAGCAGAAATGGCCTCTATCAGATGATGCAAGGCATAGAGGCTTTCAATAACTGAAAAGTTCAGTTTTGGGGAGCCCAGGAGGACAAATAGGAGGAAATTGTACAAGAAAATAAAGAATCCTAGGAGGATTATAATAAAAAAAATGCTTTCTTGATGACAGGTTTGCTTTGAATAATTCCATTAGCAAGACAAAAAAGCCATCTTTTATTGCTTTTGTAATGAATACTTTTAATTGTTGTCAAAGCTTTATCATACGTTTACTGCTGCTTTATGTGTGCTTCTGCTGAGCTGATCTATTGTATCAAAGAACATTTTATTTTGACTTTTCAGTAATATATTGAATACATTTTTCTATATCTGTATACTGGTTTTGAAAAAACAAAATGCACTTTTTGTCTCGTAATGATGTTGGTTTGAGGAAGGATGAGAAAACTTTTTTTTTTCGTACATTTTTTGCTCAGGTTTTCCTGGTATTCAGTATTTTCTAGGTATCAGTTGTGCATTGCACCCATTCTGTCCAAAGCTGATCTTTTTGAGGTGGATGTTGGCATATTGAAGCACCCATCAGTTACTTTACATATCTCATCAACAACACTGGAAAGATAACCTTTGCAGTTCCCCTCTTGCATTTTTCGTGACGTAGTATCATTAACTGAGATGCAAGATTCCCCTTGGAAAAATCCCTAAGAGATATAGGAAGCTGTTGGGGGATTCAACTCGTCAATCTCTATCCCAAACTGAAGATACAGTGACCATTCTTACTGGGTTTTATTATACAAGTTCCATATTTCTTCCGCTAAGTTGTCCTTGGAAACAGGTGCAAGCTCTCTTGATCTCTATAGCATGCCATTGGCAGAGCAGCCCTCACCCTGATTGCTTTGTGGTTGGCTGTCTCATCTGTAAGTAAAGAAGCCATGACTAGTGACCCATAGAGACTGTTGTTAAATAGAACAGGCTGCATCTGTACAGTATAAACGATAACTAATGCAGGCCATAGACGGTTCGTTTATTTCCGATTTTTCGTCCGAAAGAATAATCGGCCGATTTTCACACTGTTAGTGGGGCAATGGCATCGGCCGATTTTCGCGGTTCCTCCTCATTTCGTTTATCAGTCATGCTGGAAAATTCGTGAAAAACGGCCAATTTTCGCAATCATTGGTGGCAATATCGGTTTACAGAATGAACGATGTTTCATTTTTCGTATGAAAAATCGGCCGATAAACAAACCGTCTATGGCCTGCATTAGATGCAATGATGAGATTATGGAAATAAAGCTGACCTCTTCCTCACGTAGGTATGTATTCCCTTTTGTTGGGGCACTTGCACCTGTTTCCACAGCAACTTGGCAGGAACACTCAGCCAATAAGGGTTGCCAACTCTGCGGTTTATTTACTGACACATTCATTCTTTGAGTTGCTGATAATTGCATACAAGCAACTGACTGAAGCCAATTAGCCACAGAACCTGCATTATCTGTATCTGTCAGTAATTAAAGAGAGGAGTTGCAGCCGGCTGAATAAAACCTTTGAATACCATCCCCTGGCATTGGCTGGAAAAGGCTTGTGTTGTAATTCAAGGCTCCATTCACACAGTGTGAATTCCAGAGGCAAGAATATGTGGATTCCTATGGCCGGAATTAACGGATGCGTGTAAATATACAGCAGTGACAGGCTGCCAGCGCTCACAGCTGTATGTGACTGTTCACACAGTCAGCAAAGATCACGGGGGGGGGAGATTTACTAAAACTGGAGCACTCAGAATCAGGTGCATCTGTGCATGGTAGCCAATCAGCTTCAGCTTTGGCAATAAAACCTGAAAGCTGATTGGTTTCTTAGAAGAAGCGAGTCTGATTTTGCACTCTCCGGCTTTAGTAAATCCCATTTTGTCAGGGATAGTTGTGGCTGCCGGCAGCCTGCCATTGCATCATATGGGCTCAGCAGCCGTAGCTGGTTGTGCACATCTGTCAATTCCACCTGCAGGGATTGTAGATTCTTCCCATGTGTAAATGCAGCTTTAAAGATCCAGTTCCAGCAGGCTTTACTGTACATTCCAGACACCTTCCATATACAAGGAGGAAGGAAAAATGTCACCAGTACACCATGGGTATGGGTCCAAAGGTTTTAATGAATGATCACATAGTTACAGCAAGGCAACGTTTCGGAGTCGCGCAGGACCCCTTCATCAGGCATTGTGCCGTCACATGCCTGATGAAGGGGTCCTGCGAGACTCTGAAACGTTGCCTTGCTGTAACTATGTGATCGTTCATTAAAACCTTTGGACTCATATTGGTGATCCTTGGTGTGCTGGTGACACTTTTCCTTGCTGCTTTTGTTCGGTTCCAGCTGACGGTCGCTGCAGCACCCACTTATGCACACAGCCAGTTGTGCGTTTGGACTATACACTTACCTTCCATATACAGTCACCCTGAGTTTACATATTCTAATGCTAGCAGCATTATCCAATAGCAACCAATCAGAATTTATTCTTTCATTGGCATTGGAATGTTTGCTGCGGGTTACTGCACTTTGCTGATCACCATTGCTCATGAGCCCGATTGATTCTACTTGTAATGTATAATCCTTTCCCGCCGACACTGCACTAAATTCCCCCTCTATAATCATATGAGCCATGGAACAGTACAAGCCTTTTCCTAGCGCAATGGTCAACCCTAACGTGGACTTGCCCTTTACATGCTTTTTGTCCACTTCCACAGGCATTGTTAATGGTCCCATGAGGGCTGGAGTTTGGCACGGTGCCTGGAGCACTTTGTTCTAGATTGGCATACGTAACATTTTGTGCTGTCGCACAGTTATATGGCACTTAAAAGGACCAATAAATTGACTTCCACACCCTGAGAGTATCAGGAGAGGTGTGTTTTGGCATACAGTACTTGTACCGTGGACAGGATCCAGACTATTGGCTTAACACTGATTGATGTCATTAAAGTGTTTTTATTTCTTTTTGTTGATAATGATTTTTTAGAAACTGTTAAGTTTTGATTGGTGTCTGTGTCCCCATAGGAGAGATTTGCCCTCTCTGTTCTCTGGGAACCCCTGTCAGCAGGACAGAGAAAGATGTGTAAAGCCAGCCATACAGGAACTGAAATGCAGTTGGTTCATCAGGAAATAGCCAAGTTTCAGTCCATGTATGGGTAGCAGTGGTGTATTTAGGTTTTATGCTGCCCTAGGCAACACAAAAATTGCCCCCCCCCCCCCCCCCTCTCCATTGACCAAGAGCACCCGAGCCTTCCATTACTGCTGCCCCCCATACGCCAATTCCACAAGGCGAGAGAGAGAGAGACACTCACCTTCACAGCTCCAGACATCCCCAGAAATGAGAGTTGGGCTGTGCATCCACAGTCATGAACCCCACACCATTTCTCAGAACCCGACAGGTCCCCATGCCTTCTTCCAAGGGGTAGTAGGGGTGGTGCTGCCCCCCCTGAAAAATGCCGCCCTAGGCAAATGCCTTGTGGTAAATACGCCCCTGATGGGTAGGCTGGTTGTTGTTAGATCGACTTCTGCACAACCAAATGGCTGAAAAATGTCCACATGATCAGGGCAGTGCTGATCAGTGTATTGAGGTCTCCCAACTGTCTGCATACGGGAATGATTCCCTCATCCACATAAAGTAGTGTGGATGGGGGAATCCAGTCTTTTTTTTTTTTTCCTCAACCTGCTGGTTGACCAAAAAAAAATGTATCCAGTATATGCTGCTTAATTGTATTTCTTACAGGAATAGAGGGCCAGTCTTATAATAGAGACAGAGGGGATTCCTCCTTACCTGGGCAGGAAGTGAAGGGAAATCACCCCTATCAAGGGACTACAAGACTGACAGGGCTTGCTGTATACAAATTAAAAAAAAAATAATAATTCTGAAAGGAACAGAATGCTTTTATGGCTCGTCTTTTTTG